TAAAAAGATACGAGGCAGGTGCTAGAGATGGGTCAACAGCAGAGCCCTGGCTACTTTCCCAGGGGACCTGGGTCTGAGCCTCAGAACACACATGATGGCTCGCAACCATCTCTAACTCTAGTTCCAGGGGATTTGGTGCACTTTTCTGGCCTCTGTGGGTACCAGGCAGGCATATGGTGTACATACATACATGCAGGAAAACCTTTAAAAATTTTTTTAAAGATTTCTCCGACAAAGAAATTCCAAGGCTGTTTAGACAGCCTGAAGAGGCTGTGAAGCCCAATAGAGCTGACTGCAAAAGGTACTCCCAGAAGGGACAAATCAAGTGCATTCTGGGAAAGGCCTTCCACAGCAAAAGGTTTCTTTCAGGTCAATGGGCAGGGAAGAGGAGTAGAAAGCAGAAAACAAGGGGCCAGGTTGGAATTTTATATTTTACATTTATGTTTCTGTTTATAGGAAGGATGTCATGTCCTCAAATCCCACTTACTTTATTAAAACACCAGGAACATACTGTTTTACAATAAAAGATTTTTAAAAATTATAACTTAAGAAAAATGAGATAGATCACATTTTAGATTACCTCTATGAATAAATACCACTCTGAAACAGACACGATCCTCACCCTCACAGTTAAAGCTGGTTTCATTTAAAAATTAAATCAAGATATGTGGCATAATCTTTCCAGACTGAGACACACTCAAAGCTCAGTCCTCAAGTCTCTGCCGACCAGCCCTTACCCTCTCAGCACTTACTCTGAACTGCAATTCAAATAGTAGGGGTGTGTGAGTTCAAGACCGTACTAAAACATTCTGAAGGTTTGGCTGCAACTCATGCACAATTCCCACAGCCCCCAGACCTTCATTTTCCAATGTTCTGAGAAACTCCCATCTGTTTGGATGGGTGTAGCTAACCACAAACATGAGACGCCATCTCTACTGCTACTTTAGGGGTTTACCTCCAACTCCTTGTTTCATCTTCACACAATGTGGACATGGGAAGATGGAAAAAGCCTTCATCTGTCCATATATTTATCTTAAAAAAGTCAAAATAAAAAACCCAGAGACTCCAGCATTGCGGTAGTTGTCAAAATGTTTGTGGTGCTGATAACAGTGGCATAGCTCGTTTCTTAAAAAAACTCATCAGTTGTAAACTGTACATTTAAGAACTGATTTATTAAACCTGCTAGGCAGCCAAACAAATATTGACATGATGTATCATCACAATATGCTCTCAATAACAGCTTTTACATTTCAAATGAGCTTTGCCAGAGAACCAGAGATTTATGTCCAAAACTGGCTCTCCACTTGTCTGCCAGCCTTGGCTGTTATTTTGCATTCAGCAACAAAATCACAACTCTGTGCAGAAAAAAAAAAATCAGACAATAGAGCCACAAAGCTTTTCAAATGATGACTGTCACATAAATGAATATTGTCCCTGAAAGGAGTGAGAATGAAAGGGACAGCATTTTCAAGCCAAGTGTGATCACAGAAATGGTTGATAACCATTGATGGACCCATTCTGGCTGGGGCATATTGTTCTGCAGAGATCTTTTCATTGTAAGGGAAGATGGCAAGCACGCTTCGTCGCATGGACCTGGTTATGTAGACCCTGTTGTCACTCCCAGTGTCACCTCGGACACAGGCTTCCTTGGACAGCAAAGCGAAGGAATACACACCAGTTCTGTGAGTCAGCTGAGGTCAAGCACATTCACTGATTCCACTACAGGGTAATCTTGTTGTTTTAGAAAGGTATCCATCTTAAAAAGCACAAGAGGGGCTGGAGAGATGGCTCAGAGGTTAAGAGCATTGCCTGCTCTTCCAAAGGTCCTGAGTTCAATTCCCGGCAACCACATGGTGGCTCACAACCATCTGTAATGAGGTCTGGTGCCCTCTTCTAGCCTGCAGACATACACACAGACAGAATACTGTATACATAATAAATAAATGAATAAATATTTTTTAAAAAGCACAAGAAAAGGAAACAGGTCTTAATCATATTTTAATACTCATTCTGCCCAATATTTAACATCCAGTTCTAGCTAATACTGGCCATTTGCTAGGCATACTTTATGAAGCATTTGGCACTTCACAAGAGGGCAGTTTGTTTCTGAGACAAACTGCTGTAACACACAGTGGGGGATACAGACACGATAATCAAATAATGAGAATGAAGCACAATTAATTGTAATTTTCAAAGTTTTCATTCGTTTCTTTGCTTTGCTAAGGATTTATTACTAACAGGTTAGTTTTGGAACCCAGTTTTGGCCATATGTGTCTTGGTCACTGTTCTATTGCTGTGACCAAGCCAATTCTTTGGAGAGAAAGCATCCAATTAGGGCTTGCTTACAGTTTCGGAGGTTTAGTCCATTATCATCCTGGTAGAGGGCAGGGTGGCATGCAGGAGGCATCATGCTGGAGAAGCTCCTGAGAGCTACGCCCTGACCCACAGGCAGGAGAGTGGAAAGAGAGAATGAGAGAGAGAGCAAGAGACTGGGCCTGGTATGAGCTTTAGAAACCCCAAAGCCCAACCCCAGTGACACACTTCCTCCCACAAGGCCACACCCCCAGTGACACACTTCCTTGCACAAGGCCACAACTCCTAGTCCTTCTTAAACCATGCCACTCATTCAAACATAAGAACCTATGGGGGCCGTTTTTAGTCAAACCATGATATTGAACCTATACAATTTATAATTTGAGACAAATACGTCTGCGCTTAACAATTGCCACAGCAAAAAAGAAGATGCAGTGGCTAAATTCCTAATTTGGGTTGGAAGCAGAGAAGTAAAGCTGACAGCTTCCTGGGCCATGGGTTTCCTGGCCTCACAGATGGGGAAGTAGAGGCAGTGAGCATGCCACAGGACTAACCAGCCTCTGTGGCATGGTACAGCTACAGAAACCAGCCAGGAAAACACAGGGCCTACGGGCAAAGAATAGTACAGGAAGGCCTGTGTTGACCAGAAAGGTCTCTTGTATAGGACTGCAGATTCTGACTGAGCAGAACTTGGGCTAGCAGAACTACATGCCGGTCACTGGCACTATTTTCTGTTTGCATTTGTGTTCAGAGGCAGTCTTGCCTAGGCTGCCCTTGATCTCACGGTCCTACTGCTGGGATTCTAGAAGCGCCACAGTGGCTGGGCTCTGTATCTATTCCATCATTACTACAGCATGTATTTAAAGTACGGGCACTCGTTACTACACGTTTCCAGCATGCTGAGGGAGTTATGCTTTGCTTTTTATTTTTAATAATACAAATCAGTATTTTGCAGAAAATGGATTCTGAAATTTTCTCCAGAATTATATGGAATCCCAAAGGCAAAGCCTGGTTCAAAGACAAGGTGCGGTCTTCCTACTCCTTCCAGGAAGTGGGAATTTCTTAGCTCTATTTTAACAGGTTATATATTAAACTATTCTTCACAATGAAGTTCAACAGACTTTTATCATTTTTTTCTAGGTTTGTGTGAACAGATATGTGCACATAAGTGCAGTGTCCACAGAGGCCAGAAGGGGGCACTAAATCCCATAAAACTGGAGGTACAGATGGTTGAGACACTACGTGGGTACTGGGAACAAAACCTGATCCTCTTCAGGAGCAGCTGATGCTCTTAGCTGAGCAATCTGTCTAGCCCTGGTTCAGTGCATTTTAAAGATAAATCAACTGTGCATATAATTTTACCTAGTTTTATATAAGGAACCTTGGAAACAGTAATAACTTAGAATTGCTCCTTTATAGTAAATTAATGCTTCCAATTTACTGTTTGGAGTCTCTTCAAAGACATGCGGTAGCTTAAAATGTTTTCCACTTGTGCGCATATAGATGTACATGTGTCAGCGTGGAGTGGAGGTCAGTTCTTTTCTTCCACCATGAAGGTCCCAGGGATGAACTCAGGCTATTGTAAGCCAGCACCTCTATTGGTGGAACAAACCTCCTTGGAGTCCTTTCAATTTACTTCTCTTTCAAATAAAAACCAACGCCAAGATGTAAAGCGCCAACAAGCACACTGACCTGAACTGTAGACAGGTTTCCCAGCAGTGACCAACCATCAGGATCTTTGCGCTCCATCAGGTTATACAGAATCAAGCAGCTTCAAGGACTTTCTAAGATTCCAGGGTGCTTTAACCTGAGCCTGCAACTCTGCTGTCTAGGGTGGGAAGGCTGCCTGGAGCTAACCCTTGGGAAGACCATGCAGCCACCAGCCCTCCCGAAAAAGCTTTTCCCACTTATGGTTCCAACTCAGACCCCGAGGGATGCTTTCAGAATCTGCACTTGTCATCTCCTAGTTAACTCTGGTCGCTACCAGAGCCAGGGCCACAAGTTCTCATCTTCTTTACGATGGATTGACATGTTGAAATATTCATTTGTTTTTTATGACTTAAAACTTTTCAATCATCTTTCCATTTTTAAAACAATAGTATTAATAAACTGGCTTAAAAGGTATGCTGGCTATTGAGTCTGATATTAAAATAAGGGTAGTCATGGTTTATAACAAAATGCATTTTCCTAATGTATTAATTATGGACATTTAAATGCAATGCCAAAACGTTCTGCATAAAGAACAGATCAAATCATCTAGTTTTTGAGTAGAATATTTTGAAGGCTATGTATTTTCAAATCAAAGAACAGATGTGTTAGGCAAATCATTTTATATGGCAGGACTGTATAAACATTACAGACAGCATGCAGATTCTTGTGCTAAGGGCAGAATGGAAGAAATTTAATAACAAAAAATTAGGCAATTAAATATTTAAACATTTTTGGTTAGAGGCTTAATATTACGAGGGATAGCATCTCTGGGCACTGGCCTTTTATAAAAATAAAATCCCAGCAGACATGAACTGCATACCCCAGCATGTACTCTGCAAACCTGGGGACAATGACGATTCCTTCAGCTCCTCAGATGCTGACTCTAATTTTCTTAGAAACCTCCCCAGTGAACCAAGGCCTTGTAACAGGGAATACATGAAACACGAGATAAAAACTGGTCCTGAAGACATCACTCATTAATTCAGCAAATATTTATTGAGCACTTGTATTGCTAGCTCTAGGGAGCATGTGACAGACAGCCCCTCACCTCCAAAGAGCTCACCCGCTGGGGCAGAGCTGCCCAGCTTTCACTTAGTCACTGGCAGCACCTAATTCATCCTGCAATATATGCTAAGACATGGATTTCCTCTGGAGAGGCAAAGATCTTTTAAAACTGCCTTACTGTTGGGAGAGGGGACTGGCTCACCTCAGGGTATCTGTGTGTGGGCAGAGGACGGCTGTGTTTTGGGAATTGAACTCATTCACTGTCAGGCTTGCAGAGCTTTGTGCGACTGAGTACCTCGGCCGGGTGCTGCCCTGCATTTTCCTGTAGATTGCTATGGCTGCTCTGAAATGTGTGTGTAGTTGCCATCTGGTCCTGTACCCAGTACTCTTCCCCTTTCTCACTTCTCCCACCCTACTATAGCTTCTGACTTCTCCCGCAACACTTAGGGACACCCCATCAGCACAGGGTACTGCTTCTCTAAGCTTTGTTCTAAGCGTCAGGTCTTCTCTGCAACAACATTTTCTGGATGCTAAACAGAACTAAAAAGAAGGGTTTAAGGACTTCTGTCTGGACACTGTATACGACATTATCGAGGAATGCATAGTTTAGCTAAGGGTACTTCTGCGGTACTGTCAGTTCCTACCAGAACACAACTGATTTCATAAGATCAATATGTCGAAGCTATTTGCTGTAAGATAGCAACTTTACACACATAAATGTTAGATCCCATAATTTAATTTTGCTTTTGTATAAAATTTAACTGTTCATGGAAATACCTATTAACTTCATCACAAACAATATAATTGAAAATCTAAATATGGGCCTGCAGGTGAGATGCTGTTGAGCTGAATGCCTCTATGGTCAATTATCCTTTATATTTTAAAATTGGAAATACATTCAATACTGTGAATTTTGATTTTCCAAATGTTCCTGAAAAGAATGATCAAACCCATCCTCTGGTTTTGTTGTTGGCTTTGTTAGTTTTTGAAAAGCACAGTCCATCTGGCACAGAAGTGCCCTCTTCTTCTGGCGAGGCCGCAGTTACCCACTGTGGGACCTGTGGGCGGTACCCTCCACTCAAAGGCATTCATTCTCTCTTCCCATGAACAGAATGAACAAGAAAGGGCAAGAGTCAACTTTCCTTGTTTCATTGATTCTTGGTGCTTTCATTGTATCGTAAATGCCTGATTTTAACCACACAGCAACAACAAACACCAGTATTTATTCTGAAAGGCTGTGGATTCCAAGAGGCGGACATCAGCAACTTCCAACTCGGTCTCTAGGAATGATCCGCAGCTCTGAGCCATGTTTCAGAAAAACATTTCCTACACAACCAAACAAAAATGCAAAGTTAGGCTGTAAAGAGGACAATATCAGCATCTCAGCAATGGGCACACAGCAAACGATCCATTAGGGGAGGTAGGAAGCCCCAGCATCCTCAGAGCTGGTACCCATTCTCCAAAGCCCCGCCCCCAGTCCTCCTCTGGCCTCACAGATCAACAAGTGCTTAAACATGAAGGCACACCAGCCACAGTCATGCCAGAGAATGCAGTAACGTCAACCAATGCTGGCATCAACACAAAACAGTAAATCCAAGGTCAGAGAAGGCCACTGAGATACTGATACTCGGGTTCAAATGCCTGGCAAGATTATAACAAAGCCCAGTGGGGCACATGATGCTGTTGAAAGGTGACATGAAGGGCAGCACGCGAGAATAAGCAAGAATTCAAATTACTATGCGCTAACAAACTTCTAGAATCAAAAAGACACAAACATCTTCCGCCATATCATACGGGAACTTACGTAATACAGTGCCTCAGAATTTTCAGTAAATAAACATTCCAATTTAAAATATATACTCAAGATCATTGCTTATGGCAACAAAGATCCACAACTGTAAACCCCTCTTCATTTTCTAGATTTGTGACTTTCACCAGTGTTCTACACAGACAATGTAATTTTCATAAATCAAAATCTTCCAAATACAATTGTCTAAAAGCCAAGAATTATTTGAGAATGAGTCTACATTACTACATTATATTAAACAGGATGGTTTCAAAGCATTATGATTAGAATATCAGCCAAAGGACATATTTTAAAATAAATACTGACTTTTTTTTTTTGCACAGGTTAAGAACACACTTACCCTACCTGATGGCCAGGATGCCAATGTTTCATGCTATGTTCACAGTTTGAACGCTAGTGAGAACTCAGTCTTTAAGATGTCAGAGGCTATAGCTGTGGAAAGGACGTGGCTGGCACTCTCGCTGGCACCTCCCGGATGCTAACCATGTCCTCTTCAGACTTTAAGCAGTTCACTGACTGCCTCAGTCACTTTAAGGAGGGCTAGTCATTAACCCAGTAAGACAATTTCACCTTCAGGTTTCTTAGCTATGCACATTAAATATTTTTAATCCCTAAACCACTAGTAATCAGGCTCACATTTACTTGGAGTGAAAACCAAAGAAAATAAATATACATAAATGAAACCAGTTGTCACCGAGTTACAAGCAGACCGCCACAGCTCTACACAGCTGTGTCTGCTGAAAAATCCTAGCTCGTTGAAATGAATAAAATATTCAGTTTCGATGGACATACAGGCAGACACTCACCAGCAGTCTGTGCAGGATTTATTCCTATTCCATCTAGAAAAAAAATTATAAATCATGTAAGTCATTACTAAAGCTACAACAATTTAAACAGTAACAAGGGATTTGCCAGGAAAGTGTTGCTATGGGAAGTGGCAAAGGTGGGCAACCTCATCCCAGAATCCAGACAACAGTCTCCTCAGACGAGTCCGCCCGTCTGTGGACACCTCCCAGGGATATGTGTTGATCAGCACTGTTGGATGAGATGAAACACCCTAACTGCAATGACTCTCATCCACGCCGCAGAAGTGGGTTACATCCTATTTTGCTACACGGAATCATCAGTACCACTTCTTTAAGCAACACACACCTTATGTGCTCTCAGCAGTTTCCACTGCTGGCGGCACACAGTCTCCGTGAGAGAGGGGACACAAGACATTTTTTCCATGTTCTAGTGACACGCTGCTTGTCTGAAATATTTCCACTGGAGAATCTCTAACAAACAGGAAGTTGGCTGTCTTTCTTCAGTGTGACACGGCTCATTCGCTGCTTTGCTATCTCCTAAGCCCAGTTCCACTGGAATCTGCACCAGCGCTCCAAGGGACTCTGATTTTTAACTGAATATATCTATATTGAAAAGCACTACACGCCTGTAAACCACTTTCTTATTAGCATAGTAAGGTACAAGGAAGTCACATTTCTGCTTAACTTCCTATACTCTAAAGAGTTTTCTGATACAACTTAACATATATGTAAGCCTTGCCAGAAAGGAAGAAATAAGGACACTAGACACCGTGAAGCTGTCCTAACCGAAGGCAGAAGAGACTGAGCAGTGTTCATTACATGCAGTGGCCTCCATGCAGAGTTTACCGCTAAGTGTAATGTGTATGGTAACATAAACGGGCTTTGGGGACTCAAGTCACACCGTCTCCAGCACTTGAGTTTCAGGTGAATTCTTACCGTTAGTAATAATTGCACTTGTTGCTGCAGGAACTTTAAACTGAAAGGGAGAAAAGGAAAAAACGTTACCACCATGTAAGGCAGAATGAGGATGGAGCTCCTAGTATCGATGCTGTAATTCTAAAATCCAACAGTCAGAGCAGAGTCACGAGAGTATACAGTGCAGCACTAGAGCTTGCCACGCTCACAGCCCAGGGACCGACACCACCAGTAAGACAGAAAGCTGAGGTCTTCCACATCACAGTCTGGTGCCGCCTGCTCGAATCAACCTACACTTCCGAGTGCTGTGCCCAGAGTCGCTTGATAAACAATTCTGATAACTGCAGGTAGAAAAGGCTCACTTCTTAAAAACAGAAAATGCCAATGCATTTTTTTTAAAAAGCTAGACACTTTTCAAAACACTGAATTTTTACCGAAAGGACACCCAAAACAGATTGACACAAGGTTAGTTCATTCATTCACTACCAACACAATTCTCACCTTTCACCTGCTGAATTAAACGATGTGCCAGTGTGCTCACCCCGCGATTTCCTAATGAGGACAGAGCACCTTACGGCATGAGCAGAGCTGCGATCGGCGGGGAAATGGGGTGGGGAACAGCACAGTGCATGCAAATACACAAAAGACAAAACCAAAGCCAAGCCAGACTGCTAGAACCCACACTTACTTCTTCCGCTGCAAACTTCAACACGGCCGTGAACGGCGTACTTTCCGGAACACTGAGACTGCAACAAAGAAACACGCGTTTAAAGAAAGACTCCCAGAGTGTATTTCACTGCAAATGAGGAAAATTGTTTTTCTCAGGCTGGTCTCAAACTCAGAGAGCTCTGTTTGCCTCTGCCTTCCAAATGCTGGGATTAAAGGCTGTGCCAGTGTGCCAAGGATGAGATGGCTACCAGCAAGGTCAGTCTCTCCCTGCTCCTCAGTCTACTTTATTGCCTCTCATCTAAACTTCTAAAAAATAAAAGCAGACAAAAAAACTTAAAAACATTGATTATGCACAAAAACCAGACACCTCTCAAGCAGAGGAAATAACAAGTTAGCATTTCTCTCTAAGCTTTTCCATTTGCCAACACATAGAATGTCTAGACATCAACTACTCTCATAGACATTCTTAGGTCTAAGCCTCGATCCTCTTCTGCCGCCTCTGAATATATGTCACCCATATTGTACTGACTTTCAAGAGAAGTGCAAATGATGTTTCTGTGCTGGCATTTTCCCTCCAAATGTTATTTAATGACTAAAATTTGTATCTGTTTTCCTTTCTTGGGGGCGGGGGTAGTGGGGCAGAGAATAAAAAGAAAAGTCTAATAGTCCTAACAGTGACTTGTTTCAAACCTTTTGATATACTGGGGATGGGAGGTTTACCAAGTTTTCAGTAGCAGTTTACAGGTTCTGGGATCAACAGACTGCACATGCGCACACTTCCACACATGCATTAAACAAACGCAACGCTGACCAATTCATCAACATTTATTCAACTGCAGGGTATTAACTGAAAAGATCCAATGCTCCAGGAACTCTGATACTGGCGTTAACCAGAGAAAGGTGCCCTGACGTAGCCTACCCCAATCCTGAGCAGACCGGACAGGTGGACTATAGAGACAGGCTTTCACAACCGTAGCCATGTTCTTAGGGCAAAGATAGCGAAGATGTTTATGGGTATTGCATGAAAACGAGAGGGATCCCCTTTCATGTCTTTTGATTGAGGGGACAAGGAGTCGTGGACATTTTGAAAACAAACATACTTTCCAAAAATAGAAACAAATGAGCAAATTTTGGGGACCATAGCAGAATGCGAGTCATTAATGCTACGGTAATTTTCTCCAGGAACAGAGTCAAGAACCAAGAACATACATGGGTGGATTTGCAGTTGGTGTTCCACCAAGCAAAACAGACAAAAGAGAGGTACCCACAAAAATCCAAGGATATTTTCCAGAGTTATTTAAAAATAAAAAGGCAGACCACAGACTTTCATCCGCATAGGAAATGAGAGGGGATGGCACCGGGGAGGGAAGAGTGACAGATTAAAAAGCGGCTTGACAAACGTTGAAAAGAAGTATGGTGGCCGAGATACTGCAGGAAATCACACCGCGGACGAGAGTCTGGGCATATGAAAAACGATAGTCCAGAGAAGGAGCAATTACTGGAGAGACGAGGGGGTAAGAAGACCGTTTTAGAGATGGAAGGGCATGGAAAAAACGGGCGAGAAGCTGGATGAGTCCCAGGTGGGAAAAGAAAGCGGTGACAGCAGCGATCGGATCAGCGAGCCGGACCTCGGTGCCGCTCACACACCATGGAAAGAACTTATGAAAGTTTTGCCAGTTCGCATAGGCCTTCCAGCTGCAGTTACTCTAAAGGGTCCATACTTAAAACTCATAAGAGAACTGGGCCAGGTAACCTGTGTCAACCATCAACTCAATTGCTCAAGCATAAAGGGCCCCACACCCACAGTCCCCAATCGTGCTAGGGACGTTTTATTAAGATGCAGGTGTGTCTGACTTGTGGTTCATCACCCAGTTGTTGAAACATAGACACAACAAAACAAAAAACCCTGAAGTTAACAGCGTTAGGTTCGGACCTGTCAAGTGTCCAGACTTAGAAAGTCTTCCCTAACTTCCGGTAACAGCTGGTCCAAGTGATTAAAGACCTTCAAATCACGTAAAAGGGACCTGATGGAGTAACGTGTTGCATCCTTATCCAAAGCTGTTCGCGTTACTCCTGCCCACCCAGTGCAATCCGAGGGGTGCTGACTTCTCAACATAAATGCTGCACCCCTCTTCTTGCACGCTACTGTACCGCCCGGCCCTCCCGGCCTGTCACTCACACTTTGTACGGTAGTCGCGGGTCCGACGTCAGCGTGATTTTAAAGGACACCTTCGACCTGAAGGAGAGAACCAGAGGGTGTTACGATCGGGTCGGGCTGCGGGGCCAAGGCCGGAGCGGAGGGACGGACACTTACATGGTGGAGCCGCCGCACACACACCGCGCCTAGTCGCTCGCCGCGCTTCCTCGATGGCCGGCAGCGGGGACCTTCGCGGCCCACGTCGCCCTTCCGTGCGGCTATCCATGGCGCGCCTGAGAAATGTACAGGCACACACAGGCCACAGCAGACAGCTAGACAAAAATCAACAATTTTTTTCCAAGTACAAAGCCATCAGTATGAAGTATCAATGATAGATAAGAAATATGTTTCTAATTTGGATTGTTAATTGACAATTTTTTTAGTCAGGCAGTATAATGGAAGTCAAACAGAGTCGTCGCTAGGTCCCCACTAGCTGGTCAGGGCGGAAGTAGGGGATGTGAGGCAGCCAGACGTGACAGTGGAACTGGGGGCGGGATTCGAGACAGGCGGGTGGGGGAAGCGTTGAGGAGTTGCTAAGCAACCACCGGCATGCTCAGATGCCAGAGAAGCTGGATTCAATCGCTTTACTTAACAGTATTCTTTGATCTTTCTTACATTCCTGTTAATAAGATTTACATTCCGTATAGTTTTATCTTTTTAGCATTTTGCTACCGACTTGTTAATAATTTCAGAAGGAAAGTTATTATGATAGAATTATGCTGAGATGTCTGTTAGGGTCCAGAAGAAAAGTCATTATCCCAGTACTAGAAGGTTTTGGAGTTGGAAAGACTCATCAGTACATACCAGTAGTTCTTGATGTGGCCAAACAGAATTTAACTCGGGTGTAAGGTTTCCAATCAGGTATTACTTAGTTTACCAACAAAAACCAAAGGTTGAGGCTTCTCTGTGAATAAGACTCTAAAGCCAAGGTTGTGATCCTAAAGTAATAAAACGCGTGGGTGGCAATCCTGTAGGATATTTCGGTCGGCTGTATTTCTATAGGGAGTGGGGAACGCTGTCTCTAACCTATATTACAATGTAAACACCATGGCAAAATAGGCATCCCACCTCACAAGGACTAGTCCTTTTTCTAAATTCTTATTTCACATCCGTCTGCAGTTTTGCCTCCTTCCACTTCTCCCGTTCTCAACCCCAACTTACCTTCTGTCCTCCCCAATCTACTCCTTCCCTGTTTCTGTTCAGAAAAGGACAGGGCTCCCATGGATAGCAACAAAGTAAGGCATATCAAGTTGCAGTAAGATTAAGCTTATATTTAGGATGGGGAAGGTAATCCAGTATGAAGAATAGGTTCCAAGACCTGGCCAAAGTATGAGAGACAGCCCCTTGCTTCCACTGTTAGGAGTCCCATAACCAGATCAAGCTAAACAACTGTCACATATACACAGGGGGATTAGTTCAGTCCCATGCAAGCTCCCTGGTTGTTGGTTTATAGTCTGTGATTCCTATAAGCCAGATTAGTTGTTTCTCTGGGTTCTTAGGAAGTCCTTGACCCCTCTGGTTCAAGGGTCTCGTCCTTATCGATCCATAGGAGTTTCTCTTGCATCAGGTTTCTATCGGATCAGAAAATACCCCTCCTTCCAGTCGTCTCTTTAAGTACTCTCCCCCTTCACCCACCCCTAACCTGATCCCTCACGTTCCCATCCCCACCTGCCACCAGTCCACCCAGGAGATCTAGTTCCCCTTCCCAGGGATATCCATTCATTCCTTTGAGCCCTCATTACCTAGCCTCTCTGGGGCTGTGGACTGTAGCATGTGACCATGCCTTTTTACAGCGAGTAGATGAAACCAGAAATAGGCACTGAGCCGGGGGGGGGGGGGGGGGGGGGAGAAATAGGTTCTTTGGGAAAAAAATATTAATAGGTAAGGAGCTCCCATGGGAATATTAAAACTACATTTCATCTTCCCTGCAGTTGTGTAGCTAGATGGTCTCCTATAATGTTCTTTCCCAAAGGTGAGAATTCTGCAGCTGACTGGAGGTAGCACTCCAGTGTTGTTCTGCTGTGTGCCTTACAGTGCATCCAAGAGACATATTGACGTGTAGATTTGGGGATCCAGAGTTGTGTCTTCTAACAGCTAAAGCTACAAAGTTAATGGCCATGACTAAAGTGCTGTCTATGAAGACAAAATTACCAGTGGCAGGCACCTGTCCACCTAGTAACATCTGTTTAGATAATGCAACATTAGAATACGAATTGCAGTCTGTTTCTAAGAGTACCATATTGTATGTATTTCTTAAAAGTTGCAAAAACCCAAACAAACAAACATTCTGTTATCTAAATTGGTTTCTGCTTATGTATGAAGCCATGTGCCAAAATGCTGAAGAGAACAAACCTTATTCCGTTTCTATCATGCGAACATAATACAGTGAAAATAATATAGTCAACCACAAATGGTATGTGAGTTCAATACTCAGATACTAATGCCGCTTCACAAATGGTGTATTGCACCAAAATAACAACGAAAAGCTCTGTGTTTTTGTTAAACACAAAACGTTTGTTAAACAAAACTCTGTGTTTTGTTTGTGTTTTTGTTTCTTGGTCCTTGGCTCCTCTCTCGGTTTGCTTGCCCCCTCCTCCAGTCTCATGCCCCTGTTCAGTCTGGACCCTTGCAGATGCCTCTGACTAAGTTCTCCCTCATATCTACAGTAAAACCCTTCTCAACCACACTTAGAAGTGGCCATGTCTCCATTTTCATTCAGTTTTCAAAAGATACTGGAAACCTGTTTAGAACGCTTTCCCACTTTGATCCCTTCTCATTGCTGCCTCCAAATGGTCATCTCTAGAGTCAAGTGAGTTTCCCCTTGATACCAGAAAGGAAATTATAGACTCTTCTACATTCAAATTTTTGCTTTTTAAAAATTTTATTGTGCCACTTTCAATTGGCAAAATTTATAACAAAAGAGGGACCCTCTAATTTGCTGAAAATTTAAAATGCTAAAGTATCTTTAATGAGTATAAACAGAAGCAGAATCTGAAGCAAATGTTAAGAGATACTTGGAAAATGTAGTGCTTTAAGACAACAGACAGCATAAACGGCCTAATGTGTTCTGGAAGAGACCCAATTAATGTCACAGGGAGCCATAAACGACTGCAGAACTAAACAGTGTGACCACACTTCATCTCATTAAAGGCCAACAAAACATAGCAAAGCTGTATTTGTAAAAGCGTAGAAAATCATCCTTATTAGAAAAGAATCAAGGATGGTGGCGGGGCTGTCCGAGACACACAGAAAGCGTGAAGCCTTGGCTTCAGTCCCCAGAACACACACAGCAACAACAACAGTAATGAACACAAGGTCAGGGTAGAATTAAATTAACATTGCTAAATAGAAGAGAGTTGTAAGCAGAGGAAATGTGAGAGGGTAATTCTAGAAGACAGCCCAGGCCTTCTTTCTTGTTGACTTGACAAGTATAGGGAAACCCTGGGCCCAGCTTTCATGATAGAGCTTCAGTTAAAAAAAAACAAAACTAAGCCCAACATGGTGGCAGACACCTTTAATCCTAATACTTTGAGGCTGAGGGAGGCAGAGGCAGGGGCATCTCTCTGATTTTGAGGCCAGCATTGTCTACAAAGTGAGTTCCAGGACTGCCCATTGTAGGCAGAGTCTGCTCGCTTGTTTCCCAACTGCTCAGATCCAAATAATCACACAGAAACAGTATTAATCACAACACTGTTTGGCCTACTTACTCAGGCTTCTTATTAACTAACTCTTACATCTTGAATTAACCCATTTTTATTAATCTGTGTATTGGGAGGAGGCTGTGGCTTACTGGTAAGGATCTGGCATCTTTCTCCTTTGGCAGCTACATGGGGTCTCTCTGACTCTGCCTTCTCTCTCTCTCTCTCTCTACCGGCGCCAGCAAGGTCTGGAACCACGAGTCTCGTCAGAGGGTGTCCAGGTTGAATGAAATCCACAGAGCGCGAGGTTGAGGTGAAACAGCAGCTTCTTTATTGTTCTGCTGGGGCTAGCTTTTATACCATGGCACCAAATGGGGAGGGGGCTGCGAAGGGACTGTCACCTGACCCAAGGAGGAACTCTCACCTGACCCCAGTAGGGGTCAAGGACTGATCATGTGCACTCCACCTTCACCTGTCCCCAGTAGGGACTGTCACCTGACCCCAGCAGGGATCAAGGAATAATCACGTGCACTCAAACTTCCTCATCCAACTCCAGGAACAGAGGGAAGTTAAGGTTCTTTGCAGATAAGCACCTCAAATGGGGGCAGGGAAATATAATTCGGGGTAGCAATTTTCTCTCTCTCTCTCTCTCTCTCTCTCTCTCTCTCTCTCTCTCTTCCAACCTGGCTATATATTCTACCCTGCTATTTATTAACCAATGGTAATAAAATATATTCATAGCATACAGAGGAGAGTTTCACTTCATTCAGGGATACCCGAGAAATCCTGTCTTGAAAACAAACAAACAAGCAATCAAATACAACAACTAGCCCCTCCCCCACAAAAATCCAGTAACAATCAGAATATCTTAATTAAGTGACAGACAACCATACCAATCACAGTGCCTTGTGCAGTTAACTTTCAGGATGGAAAATTCCATCTGCTGTCTCAGAATGGTAAAGACCCACAGAGGTTGGTATGTTGGGCTTGGGGGCTACATGGGGAAACACAACATTTTGGATTCCTTTATTTGGAGCTTCCTTGACTCTGACAGCCCACAGGTGTTCTCAGTCGAGTCAGCTTTCCTGACCAGAGTTTTTCAGTCTATCTGAGACCTTCAGGTCACAAACTATGTTTTATCCCCTCAATAATCCACTACAACTCTTTAGAATAGTATAGTCTCTCAAAATTCATCAAGATTTACCTTATATCAACTATTCAAGGAACTTTGTATACATGAGATGACAAAAAAAAAACACAACAATCTTTAACTGGGATTGACCTTGATTGTAAGTTATAATTGGGAGATACTACAGTTAGAATCCACACCTCTAGTGACGCTCCTCTCACAGATACTACCAGGTGCTCTACCCAGACAATGTCTGCAAATCCAACAGTCTTCCAGGAACCTGGGAACTAGAGAACATCAAACAGGAAATTGATGGCCGCAGGTCCTGCTTCCTACCACCTTCTCAGATTCCTGCCTAAGACTCAAAGAGACTGCCTGAAGACTTGCTCTGTTAACGGACTGAAAGTTAAACCATGATGTCGTAATAAAGATGGTGAACTTCC